CCCCCCCCTTTTGGCCGGCGCGGGAGGAAGGGCAGAAAAACGACGTTTATTGGACTTTTCATGCCGCCGCGCGCGTTCTTTTTTTTCTTCTTCTTTTTTCCTCTCTCTTTGGCCGGAGTCGCCTCGCCGTTATTCGATTCCGTCGCGTCCAGCGCCTTTGCCGTTAATTGCAGCAATCACGGGGACAGCGCGGCGCTCGGACATAAAGAAGGCGCTGGCCGAGGCAGCCAGTGCCAAGTCAACCCGTTCCTTCCACACGATAAATAGGAAGGGGGACCCGAACCCGAACCCAAGGATACTCTGGAAAAAGTATTTTGTTTTCAAAGAATATTTTGCCAATGTTTTTCAGAGTACATAAATCCCTTTTTCTTAATCCATATTTTCGTTGAAAAGAGTTTCTAATATTTCTTTAATATGTGGGTCTTCAAAAGATTTCCATGGCTAAAAAAAAACAAACAACACTTTAAGACACGAGGATAAAATTTCACCGTATAATAAAATGTGAGAAATATAGCAAAACACTACACAGGCGGACCTCACACCCCCGTATGTCCACGAAAATTAACCGCACCGCACAAAAAGAAGAGCCGTTATTTATGAACGAACCCCAAACGCGTCAATATGTTGTGCGTGGCCCGCAGGCCGTATTTTTTGATAAAGGCCCTTAATGGATGGACCATGCCTGAAAAAAAGAATAAGAAGCGGAAGCAAACCGTGACTCTGCAAATTGTTTTTCGAGGGATTCATTATTCCAGAAAATATTTCCAAGAGATGAAAATTTATGACGACTGCATTACGTGCTTTTTATAAAGTTCAAGGTCACGCATGGGCATGATGTACAGAACACCTGTCTTGAAGTTAGATCGAGTTATACCGATGTATACTGGCCTCTTCACGCTCTTCGCCGGAAGGGGAAAATGCACTACAAATAACGGATAGTCATCTCTTAAAAGTGGTCATGGATTAAGCGAGCACTCAATTACCCTCGAAATTACCCGATGCGCGAAATTTTTTGGTCAAGTCACTTTTTTTTTCTATTCACAAGAGCACAATGGCACGCGACATTATGGAATGCAGAATACGCGAATGATGTCGAACTACTGCAAATAATAAGGATTTTACACAAAAGGTAAATGGAACCAATATAAGCATTTTTATTATTCGCAAAATCGGGCGCGGGGCTGTCATGCTGTGAAGTGGTGGGCGGCACTTCAGCGAGAATGCAGCCACCGCTCTAAATAATGAAAGCACCCCAGCCTACCCGGACTGTGGCCACCCCTTCCATTCTCTCTCTCTCTCTCTCGTCCCACACATACCACAAACAGCGCCCCGCCCGATAAACTGCTGCGTCTAGCCACTTATTATGAAAACGCTTTGATGCTCCAACGGCTCTAGTCGTAATTACTCTCGCGTGCCGACCCTTTATATAAAACACGCAAACATTCGGCCACTTCACACGATCAGCTCGTTACTCCGCTCACTCTTACTCTGCAAAAAAAAACCTGCATAAATCTTAAAAAATCTTAAAAAACTCAGATTGTTTTGTTTAAATTATAAAACTATGAACGCAGTATCAAAAATTCGGGGAAACAACTTTTTGGGGGAAAATATGTATATTACGGGGTTTGCTTGAAGGCTATAGCCGTGTTTGTGAATTTGACGTTTAAAACCAGAAAAAAATGCATTGCACCGCTTGCTTCATATAATATATAGGGAGAAAGTTCGACTCACGACCTATTTTAAATTATTTTATTCCCTCTTCAACGTAGGGAAGGGAAGCGGAAATGCCTCCTTCATGGCCGATCATTACGGGCAACGCCTTCTAGCCCATGGCATAAAAGCCCACACCAAGCCAGTCGTTAGCGAGGCAACGGCAACCTGCCCGGAGACGACGTAAAAGGCAGACCCGTGAGTATTTCTAGTCTGCTTGATTATAAAATATCAGAGTCTGTCAGCCGTTTTCAGGTCACAAGAGATCGAGGGAAAACCGTGAGAAAAAAAAGAAACGAGGAATAAAGGGATGGGCCGCAAGGGAAGTATACAGATTTTCTAGAATCTCTTTCCTCGTCCTAATGGTCCCAAGCCGTGTGTCAGAGCGAGGTAGGTCCGGCAGGACAGCTGCTGTGTCGGTACAAACAAGACAAGCTGTTCCAGGTGCTGCTCCAGTTTGGTTGCTCCAGACTGCGATTCCAGTCTCGGCCATAGACGAGCACTCCAGGCGGCTCCAGGCTCCAGGTTCCGGTCTCCAGACTCCAGTTTCCGGGCTCCAGCAGGCGCGCTGCTGCGGCCGCTCGATGACCACTCGACACGGATAAGGCGGGGACCGACTAGACCGGCTTTTATTGGTTTTGTTTGGCAAGTTTTAAGTGGAGGACAGAACGACACCAAAAGACAGCGGCAGCGGAGACAGAGAGTTGGTGGTGGCGGTGGTTGCTGGGTGGAGGGGTTGGTGGGCTTCAAGGGAGCAGGGACGGGGGGCGGGCACTGAAGCAACTGTCTCGAAAAGCGTTTCATGGATTATATAACGAGCACGCTTAGTGCTGCTGGGCGGGCGGATGGGTGGTGTGAGTTTGCGGGTGTTTGAAAAAAAAAGGGAAATGGGCAGGGGAGCGTGCAAAAGCTTTAAACCCCCCTGTGGGGCGCATTTAGCTTTCAATTTAATTGGTGCAACACGTGGTCTGGGCCGTGACACGTAGCGGTTATATACCTCGGTTCAGGTTGAGCCTGCCCACACGCAAAGAGGGCACGAGGAGGAAAGAGTCCTCCCTCTCACTGACAAAGTGAGAATGTTGAAAACGACATAAAAGCCCGTCAGGGGGGAGAAAGGGGAAGAAAGCACAACACGACTAAATCTCAGCAGAAGAAGAAAGAGGGAGGGAGACGCTGGGGTGGGGGGAGAGGGAGAGGGAGAGGGAGAGAGAGAGAGGTGGAAGAGTAGCAGGCGGGGATAATCCTACTGGCCACAAGAGCAGGGCGAGGAAGGAGGGGGGAAGGGAATCGACACAACAGCACAGCACAATGGTGCTCGGCCGACATGAGTCCGCAGGGTGAAAGCTGGTGAAAGTGATTGAGTGGGACAAGGGAGGGTCAGCTCTCTCTCTCTCTCTCTCTCTCTCTCACCAGGCGCGCCACAGACAGATTCATATCTCTGTTTGTCCTCACTCCGCGGCCAGGGCCTCCTCGAGGCTGGTGGGCAAGATGGAGGG